TCTGAGGCTTTTTTCATCGAAGAAATCTCGGTAAAGATTCCCGGTGAAGATTGTATTTACAACAAATTTGACTGATTCGATGACGAGGAACCCACTTTGAGACTAATAATGGCTGGAGACGGCTTGAATGGGTAATGAAGAAAAACTTTAATATAACAGCAAATGTACAACGTTTCAACAACCTTGTCGAAACGTTGTACATTTGCTGTTATATTAAATTTGACTGATGGAATTCCCAGCAAATTGCAGCAGATAGAAACTTCTCAGTTATGCACACGTGCAGTGCGCGTGCGCTGATTGGTTGCCAAGCGCAATGCACACAGAGTGTGCATAAGGAAAGATACCAGTGCAGTAGTATTAATGTGCGAGTACAAATTATTTTTTAATAATTTCTAATTCAAACCCGACACCGTAGAGAGACAATTCAAACTTGACATTGGCAGACAGTTAAGTGTACAGAACAATAAATCACAGGCTATAAGCCTGTCGTACCTTAAATTATCAGGTTACAGATACCATACATAACTTATATAATTGTGACCTATGAAAATCATTCGAACAAAGCATTCCTTTTTCGGTAAAAGAAATAAATGACTGGCCAAAGAACAATTATAATTGCGTATAAGAACCTAAAAATTGCCATGAATAAACACAAGTGTGCAAGCGTCCAAATATTCAGTTTTAAGTCTTCAGCATACAGAATATTGAAGCTTTGTCACGCTAGATATCATACTGTAAAAAAAAATCATTTGAATAAGAAAAAAGGCAATTTATTCGGATTACAATATATGGAAGCTTATTTTGTTATTATAATCCAAATGAATTATATTATCTAAATATGGCAAAAGTTGGCCTTTTACGTGCACGTAGTATTTCGTGTTTCTTTAAGCACCGGCAGCTTCATGTGGCAGAGTGGTCAAGACAATATTGGCTAGTGTTTTGGACCGTAGTCAGAAAGTTCCGACTTCGAGGCTTGTTCATGTTGTTACCTTGAAGAAGACATTTTATACCCAGTTGTTTCACACTACTCGGCTATATAATGGATACCAGCGGATAGTTTTGGATTAACCTGCGATGAACGTACATCCTGTCCAGGAGAAATCTGTCACCATTCTCATCCACTTCTGACATTGTTTGTTTTGAATTTCGCGCAAAGCTACACGAGGGCTATCTGCGCTAGCCGTCTCTAATTTAGCAGTATAAGACAAGAGGGAAAGCAGCTGGTCATCACCACCCACAGCCAACTCTTGGGCTACTCTTTTACCAACGAATAGTGGGATTGACCGTTACATTATAACGCCCCCACGGCTGAAAGGGCGAGCATGTTTGGTGGGATGGGGTTTCGAGTCCGCGACCCGCAGATTGCGAATCGAGCTCCCTAACCACCTGGCCATGCTGGGCCATTCTGCCATTGAAACTGGCGTTCAGCACCAGCTTCTATGTGCCATTTCTCCACAAAACTGATTTGACTAACAGCATCATATATGCAGTGTACTGGGGCAGCTCTGAGCATCTACTGTATTGTAGCTTAATTCCATACGTCCATTGTTTATTTTGTTCTTCGACATTGTATTAGCAGCATCCCTAAAAATACTATTTTTAAATATATCTTTATTTCTAAGTTGTTGTTGTTTTTATGTTTACTTACATCTCAAAGCGACAGCTAATCTTTCTTTGCTGTCCACCTCATACGCCCAAGTAACATTCAGGCCATCACCTTTGGCCTCAGGAAAATAATCCAGTAAATTGAAGAGTGGCATTACCTAAAAGAAAAAAAAATGTTTATCCAGTCATGGGCAGTACCTTTAATACATATATCTTATATTCCGTTTCGAAAGCATTTTTAATCTCTCAAAAATGAATATGAAAACAAATTGAAAGAGCTCACACTATAAAAGTAATTCTTAGCTTTTAATATGTGTACGTGTATTGCACGCCTGTTGCGATGTTTATTACAATTAAATCCAGTCAATTTGCACAAAAATGTCAGAATGCAAAACCTGGAACGACTATAATCTTCCACTAACTTGAACCACCCAAAGTGAAAACTGTTAAATCAATTTCAGAACTGTATTTTTTTTTTCATTTCCATTATCTTCGTTGACATGTTTCAAACTGCAAGAGAAACACTGCAATTTCTGAACACTTACAATTAATGTGATATTTCCTTTACAGTTCAAATCTTAACGTAAAAAAAAACAACGGATTAAACACTTACATACAGTAACTGACGGCGTTTCACAGAATGATAATTCCAATACCTTTAAAAGGAACCACTGTAATATGTACTGAAATATAGGGGTACTAAAAAAAGATTAAGCATGAGAATAGTTCGTAGTGACAATGCACTTTACCCAATAAAACACGCGCTAATCACGTTGAGACTACTTGACAAGCTGCATACTACCTAGAAGTTGAACAACCGACGTAGCAAACGTTTAGATATCAGATAAATGCAAAACACTCAGAAAAATAAACTGTTTACGTTATGTATATATAATTAAAAGCCTTCTCACTTTCATGATACTTCATTCTTAAGCACACAATTACTGTATGAAACAGTTTTAATACCGAGTAACGACGAAACTAAATATATATACCTCGTAGTTATTTCTGTTACCAAACAGACAGATTACACTCTTTGGGCAAAAGCTTAGCTTAAAAATGCTAAAACCTAGCAGTTCAGAACAAAATGGTAAACAAACAACCTTTGCCGGAATTTACCTTTAACCGTATGCTGCCTCTGATACACTCCGCACTTGTATATAGTACACAGTACAAATAAAGTTTCAAAATAATTCACGAAAGATTTAGCGAAAATGGTCGAAGGATGGGTTGGAATACCAAAAGTGTTTGTTGATATTCATAATTCAAATGTTCAACAGTTTGTTATTTAGGATACCTTGGAAATGAATAAATATATTTGAGTGTTGCGTAATAATAACCAAGGCTACAAGTTACGTTGAAAAATGTCGAGTTGAGTGCTTCGCAAGACGTAATTGCACATATACTAACACACGCACACATACATGTGGGGTGTGTGTACGTGTGTGTGTGTGTGTGTGTGTGTGTGTGTGTGTGTGTGTGTGTGTGTGTGTAGTGTGTGTGTGTGT